TGTGCACAGCTCAAAATAGCAGAAATGCTTTGAAATCATGGATGTGGTACATGTTTGGCTCCACCGTGCACAATTGTACTGTAGCATTCACTGAGATGGAAACGTCATCAGAGGAGAGCTTGGGGGGCTGGATGAGGGTGGAAGAGAATCAAACCATTTCACCCCTGCAGTTTAAGGTGTGTGCCCAGCGGTCTGTATGTCTCAGGCCTTTCACAGCTTAGCTAACACTTGCAACCACAATCAAAATAAAGCCATTCCAATCTTTTAAAAGCTTTTCTTTCTCCTTTTTCTTTTCTTTTTTCTTTGCAACTCACTAAAAATATCTGTTGCTGACAGATGCAAGCTATCAATAAGGAATTTAAAACTCAGTATGAAAAGTGGTAAGTGTGGAAGTCTTGATCAACATCTCAAATAGGATTTTACCCAGCAGGTACCGACTAGTTTGTGGTGGTAATTGTAAAGGGCATTTTACATGGGAATCAATTAAATGAAAATCTTTTAAACCCTTTTTAAAAGGGACTTTTTAAAGTTAACAGGTGATTTTAATTGGAACCAGGGGAGTTGCATTTTCCCCCCTCGTCTTCCTTTCTTTCTGAAACATTCAATATGGGGACAAAAATCAATACATTTCCATCAGCAGCTGAACTCCCAGCGTTTTCACGAGCCAAATGCTGAAACTTGACAAATACTATGAAGCGTGCTCCATTTTATTTTTAATTTTTTGGGTGACATGGTAAGTCATTAAATATAATTGATGCGAGAATGGTAGATCCCAGAAAGGTCCCTTAAGCAGTTTGAATACTGAGCAAGTTTCAGAGAGAGAGAGAGAGAGACAGAGACAGAGAGAAAGAGAAATAGACTGACATTGAAGGCTAGTGGACTTTTGACTGGGGTCTTTGTTAGTCATCAGTGGCTCCAAAAAGCCCAAAGTTCCTTTTCCCAAGGCAGCAGCAAAACTGAGGCTTCTACCTGCTTCACTGCCTACATTCAAATCACCAAACTAATTAGATGGCTAGTAGCCACTAGCCACTGGATGCCATTAAGCAATCACCTTCAGCTAGCAAATTATTATTATTATTATTATTATTATTAAGGTAAACTTGCATGCCGCCCTTCATCTGAAGATGACAGGGCAGTTCACAACATAAAAACACAAAATGAGAACAAAAAATACATATGAAACAAAAACAAACCAATAACTTCCTCTCCCACAAGCACATTTAAAAGGCCTGGTTATAGAGAAATGTTTTCACCTGGCACCTAAAGATATGCAATGCAGGCAGGGCTGTCTTAAGCATATGCGGTGCTGGGGTGCAAAGTTCCACCTGGCGCCCCCCCCCCCCAGGTTGCCCAGTCCCAGGAACGTAGGAGGGCGGAGCCGGCTGGCAGCCTCAGCGTCTCGCTGGCTCGGTCGTCCCCAAACTCATGGCACAGAGCCACCCTCAGCAGAAGAGCCTGCCGCAGCACTCCAACCGATAGTTGGGCTCTTCCCCAGACTCAACTCTTGGGCCCCGGACTCTTGGCCTGGCACCCCTGAGAGTCCAGCGCCCAGGTTCCCTGCACCCCTAGTGCCTATGGATAAGATGGCCCTGAATGCAGGCAATGCAATGCAGGCACTAGGCAAGCTTCTCTAGGGACAGCCATGCCACAAATGGGGAGCCATTCTTGTGTTGCCTCCCACTGAAACTCTCATGGAGGTGGCACACAAATAAGGGCTTCAGGTGATGATTGCAGGGTCCGCATTGGTTCATATGTGGAGAGGTGGGCCTTGAAGTACTGCGGCCCCGAGTTTCTTAAGGCTTTATAGGTCAAAACCAGCACTTTGAATTCGGCCCAGAAACTAACTGGCAGCTAGTGTGCAACGTGCATTGGGTGGATGACATACTGGGCAGCCCTATAGTCATCATGGCAGCCATGAAGTCCTGAACCACACCACAGCCTTGGCATGGATGTTGCAGACCCTCCAAGTGCCCCTATTTTCCAGAGATGTCCCTGATTTAGAGAAGCCATCCCAGTTTCTGATTTGATCCCAGAATGGCTCACTTTTCCTTAGGATGTCCCTTTTTGCATTGGAGAAATGTTGGAAGGTATGGAGTTATCTGACCCCCGGGCCATTTGAAGACAATCCTGTATAGGGAAGGTTTTTTTCATGCTTAAGGTTTTATTATGTTTTTTATAAATATTGGTAGCCGCCCAGAGTGGCTGGGCAACCCAGTAAGATGTGTGGGGTATAAATAGTAAAATTAGCATTATAGAATAGGACATCCCTATTTTCATCGGAGAAATGTAGGGGGATATGGATGTTGAATTCTCCCAAAGCTTGCAGTCTGGGAGTCCTCAACACAGCCTCCAAGACCAGCTCTGTCAGCTCAGGCAATGAAACAGCTGGGCAGTGAGGTAGGCAGTAAACCAGCAGAATCCCTGATTTGTCCTGATTGCCCAATGCCAGGAATACACACTCAGGACCCTCACTCCACTGGCCTGGGATAGAGAGGGGAGGGAGGGAGGGATTTTTTTTTTCTTCTATAGACCACAGCAACTTCTTCTCCCAGTGTCAGGGACTGGGCAGAGGAGGAATGGTGGAAAATGCCTTCCCAGCCTGACCCTTCCAGAGAAGAAAGAGACAGTTCAGAATTACAACAGGGGTTTGAGGGAGATCACAGCTCAGAGGCAGATGAGGGGAAAATAATGGGAAATAATAGGAGAGGAGGAGGAGAAAGAAGAAGAAGAAGCACCAGGGGGAAAACAGTTGACAGACACAGTGTCTTTAGAAAGCATTCCAGACCCCCTGTCCCAGAACCCGGCAAGCATTGAAAGTAGGAGAGCAAAGCGCTCAAAGGCACTTTTCAGCGCCTGTAGCTGTTATACATGAGACTCAGTCGCCCTAATTCCAAAGGCAGCATTTCCAAGCCTCTCTCTATGAATATTGAATAAAGAACAGTTGGTAAGAACTTTTCCTTGTCATATCCATTCCTGGTGCCCTGCCGTGGGGGTTGGATCCTCTGCTGCCTGACACCTGGACCCTCGTCTGTCCTGATGCTTTACTGAGTACCCAGGTGGGCACAGCTAGAGACCAACTCTGTCGTGCTTCCCCACCCAAGACTCAGTAATACAAACCCAGTCAGCCTCCTCATCCATAAACAGATCATGGGTGAGGGAGGTGTTACTCAGAGGCAACCTAGCATTTAGCAACAGCAGCCACAGACCTGGGGGCTGGCTGATAGGACAGCTGCAATCCCCCCAGTTGGAGGAGGGCCTGGCACATGACACAGTCACTAATGGCCTGTGCCATGTGCCCCTTTCCCTGCCTGCTCTTAGGATATAGCTCAGTTCCACCTTAAAAGGAACAGGCATGACTGTTGTATGTCACATGCCTGTTTACTTCCAGCACAGGCTTGCTGGGAACTTCCGTTTGTATATTGCTTTTGAAATATTGCTGTTTTGCTGGACACGAAGGGAAGCAGACATGTTTTTCCTTAGTTCCTGAACTATGCTGAATAAACGCCTGTAAATAATGCTTACACATGATTCTGTCCGCCACTTCTGTTGTGAGGATTTATTCACTCTGCTGATAAGAGCGTGCACAGCTTCTGAACGTTTCGGAGGTTCGTGTTGATGCTGTTCTGGGAACCGAAGTTTGCCCCGCTGCCGGCCGGTGGCTGGAGCCAGCTGGGGGGCTGCCAAATGCCCCATCTCCTCAGATGCATCCCACCCCCACAGCAAATCCCTCCTTGCCCAGTACCACTGTGATCGGGGTCCTCCCTGCTCAACCCATCTCCTCTCTTCCCTGGCACATCTTATATCCCATACCAAGAGTAGGTTCAGCTGCCTCAACTTTTGTAGCTGAAGTCAGTCATGCCAGGTGGGAAAAGGCCAGCAAGGCAGGAAGCAGGTCTTCTAGGACTCACAACCAGGATGGCCTCTGACCTCCTCAGCAGCATTAGCCCTTTTTATTTAGAAGTTATATGAGAGCCTCGAGAGTGCCACATCATGGGAGCCTTCAGTGCACTTCTTATAACGTCAGTCATAAAAATAAGCCTTCAGTAATTCCATAGCTGCCAAATTATGATCTTGACCTCTGTGCTGGTCTCCAGTAACTGGCTAAATGTCCAGGTGGGCCTTGCCTTTGGTCGATAGTGATAACACTGGAGGGGAACTCCCCTCTTATTGATTTTATGCATAGAGCCACTTGCCCAGTTGTTTAACAGGATTGATCAGCCTCCAGCATTTATTCGTTATCACTTCATTTAAGCAACATGAACAAAGGGTCTGGGAACCTATGCTGGTATCATCACTGAATCCCATGACTTCTGCAGAATCTTGAGATCCCAATCTGTTTCTTTTTAAGAGCATGTTCCCAGGCCTCAAGACTGCTCAGGTAGGGAGAAGCCTGTTAGGCTCTGCTGAGGGCTTTAAAATGACATGTACCTTGAGATGAGGATTGTAGCAGTCATCTGGTTTGTTCAGCACAGCTCCCTCTCAATAAATCCCCTGTAAATTAGATCTCTGGTCATCTGTCCTTATGTCCCATCAAATATGAACATTTTCTTGAGTTCCCACAGGCCCTCTCAGAGGTCAAGACAGGCCCGGGCTAGTTCCAACTTTAGAGGTCCCGAGCCAAAATTTTAAAAAATGGTGACACAAGAAAACAAAATACAGCGCACACACACACGCACACACAAAAAGAAGGAGACAAATGCTTCTTTTGCCTTTTGTCTCTTACAAATCACATCTCTTATTTGCTTAAAACTGCAGGGCTAAGTTAAGAGCCTGTGTCACATTTTAGTCTGACACAGTCTTTAAAAACAGGTTGCGAAACCAAGGTTGCCAGGTCAAGAGCATCCCGGACTCTGATATTTCAGGGTGCAAGCCCTGGTGGTATCACAGGGAAGTGGGCATGGAGACAGAAGTTAACTGGGAGAAGGGAGTGGAGGAGGACAGAGCACCCCCCACAGTGTCTAAGCTATGGTTTGCAGCTGGCTCCTGCTGGGTTAAAGCTTGCAGCTTAGTTGGTTAGAGCATGGTGCTGATAATGCCAAGGTTGCAGGTTCAATCCCCATTGCAGAGGGTTGGACTAAATAAACCTCAGGGTCCCTTCCAATTCAACCATTCTATGACTCTATAAGATGCATGCAAAGATGCATGCACATTCATATACACTAATAGTGTGTGTGTGTGTGTGTGTGTGTGTGTGTGTGTGTAAGCAGACACAGTGCACATTCACAACATGCATTTAAAGCACTATGATACCACATTAGACACTCATGGCTTCACCCAAATAATCCTGGGAGCAAGGGAGGAGGAAGGGGGTGCAGTGGGTGCGGGCCACCACTGAGGGGGTGACAAAATGCCAGGTGTCACTCACCGCGGGGCCTGCAGTGCACCCGAGCCACATGTCTCTCCTGGGAGAGACATGGCGGCTTGGGTGCACATAGGGTCTATGCTGCCAAACGGTCCGCCCACTGCTCCCCCCCCCAGCTGTAGGGCAGCTGAGTGGGAGGAGGCAGGCAGACTCCAGAGGCCCTGTGGTGGGCCCTGCCCCATGGGCGGCTCACCCCACCCCAGGCGCCTGAGCAGCTTCATCCGCCACTACCTGGGAGGTAGTTTGTGAAAGGTGATGAGAGTTCTGAGGAAACCCCCGTCCCTCACCCCCCGGAGCTACAATTCTCAGAGTGGTTTAACAATCAATCCCTCTTCCCAGGGAACTCTGGGAGAGCCAGTATGGTGTAGTGGTTAAGAGCGGTAGACTCGTAATCTGGTGAACTGGGTTCACATCTTCGCTCCTCCACATGCAGCTGCTGGGTGACCTTGGGCTACTCACACTTCTCTGGAGTCTCTCAGCCCCACTCACCTCACAGAGTGTTTGTTGTGGGGGAGGAAAGGAAAAGAGATTCTTAGCCGCTTTGAGACTCCTTCGGGTAGTGATAAAGCGGGATATCAAATCCAAACTCTTCTTCTTCTTCTTGTAGCACAGTGAAGGGAATGGGGGCGTCCTCACAATTCTAAGGACCCTTAATAAACTCCAGCTCCCTGCTGGAGGAATCTATGACTGTTTAAAGTGGCACCGCAGTGCTTTAAATGTATGGTGTGAATGTGACCTTAGCGGACTGAGAAAACCTGAGAAGACTCTGTAACAACTGCATTGTGTATGTGCTTTCCCACTGAGCCACAGTCCCCCCCTTCCAGAAAGGTAGACTTTCCACACTTTGGGATTAATGCTAAAGCATCAAAACAGGAGCATGTGCAGACTTTGGCCTTTACCCTCGTTGCTCAGATGGGAGGCACAGCAAGCCGCCTCCCCCCTCCCCTCCCAAAACCAGGACCTCTGAGGCTGCATATTCAGCAAGGGGATCGCATTTCCATCTCTGGGATTGTGACATGCTTCTGCTGCACACTAAGTGATTAGGACTTTGCGTGTAAGAGTACAGCCCTATCAGAGTGTAAGTGCTTGGCGGGCTTCTGCGGGGTTTTATTTATTTATTTATTTATTCCTCCCCCCCTCCCCCCTCCTTTTCCTACGCCTTTGACAATCTAGACAAATAGGCTTTTAAATTAGGAAGTGATTTGGAATATAAGTGAGTGCATTTAAGCTGATAAGAGACGGAAAGATCCTAATGGCTGAAATATTTGTCGCCTCACAAATAAACGGAGTGTATCAGGAGCCACTAATATAACTAATTTTGACCATCTCCTTGGCTGCTCTGCGACAGAAAATGAGGTCAGCGTGGGTTGAGGCAACAGAAAATGAGCATCTGTTGGAAGGCAGTTGAGAATACTGATAAAGGAGTCTACTGAGCTGCATTACCTAGCCAGGGGAAAAAACTAGGAATCAGGTTGTTAAAATTAGGGGCTGAGCCTTCCTGAAGTGTCCGGGGTTTTAAAAACATAAAGGTGAAAATGAATACATTGGCTTCCAAACAAAGCTTGAATACAAATGCCGCCCTCGCCATCTGAACATGGGATGCTGTGCAGTGTTGATGTGATATAACCTGAGTGTTTGTGGACATGGAAAGTTTTCTGGATTCACTTGGGGGAGGGGGAATGAAGACTTAGTCCGGGATGTAAACGTGTTCATCATACATCATTATTGTGTATACGGATTGCTTCTTTGGCTCCATCCAAGGGCTGCCTTGGAAACAAACCCAGCTATTTCCTAAGGCCTAGAAGCTCTCCAGAACCTATATGCAAATAAATAAAACTAAATTTGAGAGCCACCCTGTAATCAAAAGTGGTACAGTCAATGGAGGTTCTTGTAACCCGCCCTGGGACATAAAGGTAAAGGACAGGTAACATCATCATCATCATCATCATCATCATCATAATGAATAGGTAGGGTGGAAGGCAGGGAGGCCAACTGTAAGTGATGCAATAAATAAATAAATCATTGTTTTGTCCCCACCTACCTCCCTGCAGAGTTCTGCAAGGGCAAATCTGAGACTGAGGAGGAAGAAGCTGAGAGGCAGGATTATCCCCCTGGTTGTAAGAAGACAGGCATGTAGGTGGGGGCTGACTGAAGGCAGAGAGAGGTTAGCAGGGCACTGCCCCCCTTGCCCCAATGAGAACAGCCTTCACTGCATACAGCCCAGGCACATGTTTGTCCCCTCATCTGCTGTTCGTGATAAGGAAGCCATGAAGCTCTGTTTTGATTGGGAAATTATTATAAATAAGGCTGACTACATTTACAGGCTGCAGGGCTGGCCCTGCTATTACACAGAATGAGGCAATTGCCTTGAGCAGTATATGCAGGAAGTGGGGAATGGCAGTGAAGCGTTGAAGGGCAACATTGGGTGTGCCCCCATGGCCTGCCCTATATCCTCCTAACCCAGCTTGCTGCCCTTAGGAGTGGTGGAAGATGCAATACCATCTTCAGCCCTAAAGGAAGACCTAGTCTGCTTCAGTGTATGGAATGGAAAGACACCATTTTGTCCTTTGCCTCAGGCGGAATAATGTCTTGGACTGGCCCTGACTGGTTTCGTGACAAACAGCTTCTAGGACTCGGCAGGTAGCTTGTACTAAAGTCCTGGCAGGTGTGTGTTTGCTTGTTTGTTTTGAAAGGGAGTTGATTTCCCTGTTGTACATCTTAAGGGGCTCTCAGATTGCAGGCAGAGAACCTGAGGAGAAAGAGAAGGGACAAAGCAGGCAGAGAGCTGAAAGACACAGGGATGTGAGGATAAGGGGGGTGACATGGGAGCTAACGTGAGACAGGAAAGGGATGAGGCTGTGTTTGGAAGTAGGTCCAAAGGGCAAGGAGGCCTGTGTGTGGTGGCAAAAAGTGAATGGTCAGGCAGGAGAGCTTTGGAAGCCAGACCTTCCAGAGAGACAACTGTGTTGGGCTGGTGCAACAACATTTCTGTGCATAGGTTTCCAAGGAGTAGATGTGCTGGTCTTCAGCTGGTGGGTCAGGACATGAAGGAGCATCACCACCCCCATCGTTCAGCCTGGGCACTGAGGTCCAGCGCCGAGGGCCTTCTGGCAGTTCCCTCACTGTGAGATGTGAAGCTACAGGGAACCAGGCAGAGGGCCTTCTTGGTAGTGGCACCCGCCCTTTGGAACACCCTCCTATCAGATGTCAAACAGATAAGCAACTCCTTGACTTTTAGAAGACATCTGAAGGGAGCCCTGTTCAGGGAAGTTTTTGATGTTTGGTGCCTTACTGTGCTTTTAATATTTTGTTGGGAGCCGCCAAGAATGAGTGGGGCACGCAGTCAGATGGGAGGAAGGCTGATGATGATGATAATGCCATGGCCTGATCCAAAGTGGGTTGCAATAGGAGCACTACTGCCATGCAGATGTATGGTAAAGGATTAAGAGATCTTGGGTCCCCCCGATGCATGTTTGGGTTAAAAGTAGGTCCTAGGTGTGAAAAGGTCAAAGATAATTGGAGTAAAGTAAGGATGCCCATGAGAAGACAAGACTCCCTGGAAAAGACCCTGATGCTGGGAAAGATTGAGGGCACAAGGAGAAGGGGACAACGGAGGACAAGATGGTTGGACAGTGTTCTGGAAGCTACCAGCATGAGTTTGACCAAACTGTGGGATACAGTGGAAGACAGAAGTGCCTGGTGTGCTCTGGTCCATGGGGTCATGAAGAGTCGGACACGACTAAACGACTAAATAACAAAGGATTCCCAAACCGTGGTCCATGAGCTTCGTTCAGGTGGTGGTTCACAATGTGCCTGCATAAATACAATTAAAAATCACACAACATCTAGCACAGTGCATTGCAATCAGCACAACGGGCAGACAAATTGTTAGGTGGACCACCAATACTGTCAGCAGTTTTCGAGGGGTCTGTGGGAGAAAAGGTTTGGGAACCACTGGACTAGAACCATTTCATCGAATGCGTGCAGTGCTAGTCTCAGTGGCTTCACATGCAATACAGACGCATAGACATAAATGAAAGTAAACAATGGGACCCAAAAGCCATAAGATACAAAAGGTACAGTATGTAGCACTTCAGCGGGAAACTCAGAACATAAACGAGAGAAGCACTGTGGCGATTCTCAAAAATGGTAATAAACAGATCTCTTTCTGGCATTGCAGCTGCAATTTTAACACCTGATAGTGGGAGAAAAAACCCTTGGCTCAACTGAGTCCTAAATGAATATTTTATTTATAAAAATATTTGTATACTGCTGTGTCCTAATATATATATCTCAAGGTGGTTTTCAGCAATAAAAGCATACAATATAAACCATTTAAAAATTAAGAACAGGCATCAATTAACCATTATAGAAAAGTTTTCCGCAGGCATTATTATTATTATTATTATTATTATTATTATTATTTTATTTATACCCCATCCATCTGGACCCACCACTCTGACCGGCTTACAGCATATATAAAAACATAGTAAAACATCAAACATTAAAAAGTTCCTGATACAGGGCTGCCTTCAGACGTCTTCTAAAAGTTATGTACTGTAGTTCTTTATCTCCTTGACATCTGAAGGGAGGGCTGTTCCACAGGGAGCGCGCAGAAGGCTCCCACTGAATCTCTATTGGTTGTACTTTTTATAGGCCAGAATTTTACACTGATGATGGGGAAACAGACTGGCATGATGAT